GGCTGCCGCCTCCGCGAGGGAGGCGGAACTGACCAAGCGTGAAGATTTGGTCGCCGCCTTCAACGGGGAAGGCGGACGACTTGACGATTCGGTTGCCACCTCCATGGGGGAGGCGGAACTTACCGAGCGTGGAGGTTTCGTCGCCGCCTCCAGCGGGGAAGGCGGACGGCTGGAAAGAACAGGAACCAACTTCCCGTTCTTGTCAACGATGTGTGTGTCGACCAAGCTTGCTAGCAAGCTAAAGTCTTCACACGATACGGATGTGCCTTTTCCAAATTTAAAAGGCATTTCTGCCGATTAAAAATGAGGCAACAACTCACTTTCCCTTGCAGGAACAAACCCTAAAAAGGGCGCTCTTAGTTTCGAAAGAAACTTACCTACTCCGGATTACGCTTTGACGAGGTCACCCAAGTAGAATATGAACCTTCCTCCTTCCTTCGCTTTCGCAGCAGGTCGGACGAATTCTTCAACTTCTCTCCAGGCGATGTTGCACTCCTCAAGGCACTACACGGACTGTATGATAGGAGTAACCACTTTCGACCCTGTTATATACATGTGGAACGGGAACGCCCATCACCGCTTGGGTTCGACCAATCCGAACAAGCGTGCAATGAGCGGTACGTGTAACGGATAGAAAATAGCCTCCGGCCGTTAAAATTTTTTAGATCTGACGATAGCAATCTGTTACGTTCATAAAAAACAACGAAAATGGCGCGTACGAAGCAAACTGCTCGTAAATCTACTGGCGGTAAAGCCCCTCGTAAACAATTGGCAACAAAAGCAGCCAGGAAAAGCGCTCCCGCTACTGGAGGTGTAAAGAAGCCACATCGTTACAGACCTGGAACCGTAGCTCTTCGGGAAATTCGTCGTTACCAAAAGAGCACTGAACTTTTGATTAGGAAGTTACCTTTCCAACGTTTGGTTAGAGAAATTGCCCAGGATTTTAAGACCGATTTGCGATTCCAAAGTAGTGCCGTGATGGCCTTGCAAGAAGCTAGCGAGGCTTACTTGGTAGGACTTTTTGAGGATACCAACTTGTGCGCAATTCATGCAAAACGCGTCACCATTATGCCGAAGGACATTCAGCTCGCTAGACGTATTCGTGGCGAAAGAGCTTAATTCATTTTAATCAACCCGACTTTCCAACAAGACCGGTTCTTTTCAGAACCAATAGATTATTTTCTGAAAAGCAACTTTTCCAATACTAATTGTACATTTTTAAGTAAGTTTTAAGACCTAAACTTGAAATTACAACTTAAGGTATAAAACAGCAACCGAAACCTTTTTTTTTTATTTCAATCAAAATATAATGTTTAATATTTTGTTGGCAAAATCAAATAGGTGCAACAATAGTTATAATTAACTTATAATGTAAATTCGGAATATACTTTGCAATATTATGATTATATAGTAACATTAATTCTGATGTTATCACCCAAAAATTGTAATTATTTTTGATAAAGTGTAAATAAGAGATTAATTTTTAATCATATAAATTTGTACTTTTGATCTGCATCCATTTTGTTTCTAGAAGGCAATAAAATTTGTGTGAATTTGAAGTAAAATTTGCCCGATTTTCAATGAAACGTCTGTGTAATTTAAGCAGATTAATGATCTTGTAGGTTTGCAGTGTAGTATTATGATTATATAGTAACATTAATAAATGTTTACTGTGGAGAGTGTGGCGAATTGCACGACGAGATTGTAGACCGACTCGTGTAATCACACGAGTACTGTAATTATGCTCTAGCCCATGTGTGATATACATTTTATCTACAACTGCCAAAAATTACTTAAAAATCAATTTCTTTAAAAAGGTCTATTTTGACATGTATAAAAATATTGTGAAATGGTTGTTGACAACTTTGAATTAATGTCAATTTTAATAACATGTCTACTCAACTGGAATAAGTGTTTCGAAATGTAGAAACATAACAATTAATGTTTATAATAAATAGTATTGTTTCTCTTTAAATAGGTAGCACTTTTCCTTTTGTATTGTTGCTCGTTTCAATAAATTAAATCTGTTCTGATTGGGCTAAAAATGCGTTACGTAATGAAACCAGTGCGGTAATGAAATTCATTTCGTAACTCAAATCACCTCAAATGAGTGTGGTAATGATGATTTATCTAAGCAGTCGTAGATAATAGTATATTATTCAACAATCGTATAATGGCGGCTGTTACCCATGAAGATGAAGTTGCAATCTGAGTGGGTAACAGCCATTATACGCAAGTTGAATACTATACTTTATCTAAACTATTTAATTTTGAAAAAAAATCAAAAAAAAAAACTTGATAAACATTTCAGACATAACCTCAATATAAGAAAGCTGTCTATTTCTGTGTAAGAATTTCTGTTATTATTTTATTTTTTGATTAGTACGTCTTAGTCAGAACTGTGGAATAATGGCTTTTATTCAACACTTTGTCAGTCATGCGCAGTAATGCGTGTCATTACCCGTCAAAAATCAAATGTATAACGAATGGATAATTCAATAGTTGTAGATAAAATTATTAACAAAACTTGTTCATTCAGAATAGAAAAGAAAGGAAATAAAAAGAAAAGTTTTAACATTGTTGACAATATTAAAACATTGTTAAAACAAGTTTTAATATAAAATATGAATTTTAAACTGTGTACATATGTAGTTATTTCCGAAAGCTTCTGCATTGTAAAGTCCTCCAGATGGCGATCGGTTTTTATGACTCCGTTCCTTTCCTACTGTAGTAGCACAGAATAACCAGAAAGGACAAAGAGACCTTCCCGCCGAAACTCATTTTTATGCACATGTGCGGCTACGCCATATTGTTGGCGTTTATTTACATCTGTGTTACCAGGTGCGTTTGTTGAGATTGTTTTGATTGCGAAAGTTTTTCTTTAAGTTATAGTTGTTTAGTTAATAGTTATTTAGTGTATTATGCTATTTTTTCTTACATTTTAAAGTAGTATTAGTTGTTTCTTATCTTTTACGGTAGTTTAGTTTTTCTATTTTTTTTAATAATAGTTTTTTAGTGTTAATTATACAGCATACAAAAGTTCCTTCTACTATAATTGCTAATTTTTAGATTTTCAATGCAGCTCGGACCCAGTGCAAAATTTAAATTTGTAAATAATTTATAAAATAAATATTGAAATGATCTACATATTTTTTTTTAATTGACGATATACTGTATTAAATGAGTTTGATATATTGTATTAAATTTTCAATAACCGTAGTAATTATATCTTCAATAGAAATTTAGTAAAATTAAATTTCAAAATCATTGTAGTGGACACTCTCCTAAAACAGAGTGACTTTACTTTTAAAATTGGCGCCTACACGCCAACAATATGGTTGAAGGTTAAATAAAATAGCTGGTGAAACATCAAAGACACCGCCGGTTTTGTCCTTTCTGGTTATTTTGTGGTAGTAGTAAAACGGTTAAAGACGGCGTTATAAACAGGTAGTTTTCCATTGCAGAATACTAGGATTTCTCACTCAGGACCGCATTAAGGAACACACTTTACTTGCAAATTGTAGAAAAATAATACATAGGTTGATGTATTATATATATATTAATACTCATTATTCTCTTATTTGTTGTGTTTATTTCTAATATTACGTTAATTATAATTAATGTATTTAATTACTAATCAAAAAAATTTAATTATAAAATTAAATTTTAGTTGTTATAATAAATGAACTTTGGTTTTTTTTATTAAATTTTGGTATAAAAATTTTAAAAAAATCGACCCTGTCCTTGCCTAACCAGCTTTTATTTATGATTGTCAAACAACCGATGCCTATGTGGAAGACTATAACGACCGACCGTTATTCCTTTCCTTTCTACGTATAGTCGTCCACACCAAGATCCGGAATTACAACCCCCATAAATTGTAGACCTCTGCTTCTGTGTGGTTAAGGGTACTTAACCATTTCTACCTGAGATGAGACCTGCACTGAGGGAAATTATTTTTGAGTTTCAAGAAAAATTTATTCTTGAATGTATTTCTTAGAAACAAGTATAAGATACTCTTAAAACAAAAATATTTTTTTGTTTTATGAATAGAAATATTATCGAATGAAGTATCTCATATTCTTAGCATCGAAGAATATCAATTCTTTGTATCAAAAAATTCATTCCTGCGTCAATAATTTATAATACTAAAATGAAGAATTATACAAGATTGTTGTTACATGAATAAGTTTTTCTAAAAAGAAAGATACGTTATTCTTGACATACGAAATTTATTCTCGATACGAAAATGGGATTGTTGACGAAACACTAAGACACTCTTTTTCAAGATGATTGATTTACTGTCACTAAAAATTCGTTTATAATACGATAAGCTTGTCCCAAGAGTAATAATCTTCGTTCAAGAATATATTTCCCTCAGTGTAGAACTCCGTATAGTTTAGAAAGTCAGGGACATACCAACGACTTTATTTGAGTTAATTACACTTAACTTTATTGGTCAGTAAACTATATAATAATATTTTTTCTACTGTTGATAGACGAAGGAAATGAGGGTTAAATATACCCTAAAACCTAATTCAAATCAAATTAAAATCTAATAATTATTTTCTTAATTCTTAATTAATAATAATAACAAATATTAGTACCAGAACTTATTTCGCTTAAAAAAAAAAATAAATAAAAATAAAAAAAAAACATGTTAATTATTTTTAAGAACATTACAAAAAATATGTTTATGTCGTGCCTAATTTTATGAACCCAAAAGATAAAAATATTGTTGTAATTCCGGATCTTAAATATATATTCTGATAAAGCATTCGACGTGTTTAAATTTATATTAAATTTAGCAAGTCTTGTACGATGATAGTGTTATGTGAGTGTTGGTCAAACCAAATTAAAGACAGTTTTCTTCTAATTATAAAAATTTTAACTTTATTTCCAGCACTCTTCGTGTAACGTACCCGTTTGATCAGTAATTACAATAGATTGAACAGTTATTGATGATAGATGATTTTGCGTTCAATTGACACCCTTTTGTGTCTTACATTATGTTTTATAATTGTTCCGGACACGTGATTGTGACGATTCAATCGACCAATCCCGGAATGACATAAAATAATGAGTTCAAGACCATCGACATCAGAATCAGCAATTTAGCAATGAAAACAATTATAGTAACCAATTCTGATGCCGTTGCTGTTTTACACAATTTAGTAAACAATTAATTATATAAACAAACATCTATGAACTAGAAAATATTATAAACAATTCTATTAAATTGAAGGGTGTAAAGGGTGCTTTACAACAATAGTTTGTAAAACTAAACTGTAGATAGGATGCGATAATACTTTCTCAGAAATAGATTTGTGGCTCTGAAAAGAACCGGTCGTTATAAAAATGTAGAGAAATTATTTGGAACTTGTGTATTTCGTAACAGCTTTGGTGCCTTCACTTACGGCGTGCTTCGCCAATTCTCCCGGTAATAGAAGTCTGACGGCCGTCTGAATTTCGCGACTGGTGATCGTCGATCTTTTGTTATAATGGGCCAAACGAGACGCTTCCGCGGCAATTCGCTCGAAAATATCGTTCACAAAGCTGTTCATGATGCTCATAGCTTTACTAGAAATGCCAGTGTCAGGATGAACTTGCTTCAATACCTTGTAAATGTAAATAGCGTAGCTTTCCTTCCTCTTGCGCTTCTTCTTTTTGTCGGTTTTCGAAATGTTTTTTTGCGCTTTACCGGCCTTTTTTGCTGCTTTCCCACTAGTTTTCGGTGGCATTGTTGATTAGTTAATAATAATAAGTCGATTTCAAGATTATGATATCGTTCAGTACTCGCACGACGTTAACAAAGCGTTCGCGTCTACACTATTTAAAAAAAAAAACCGTCTTTGTCGCTTAAAACGTGGAAGCGTCGGACCAGTAGGCCACGCCTCCTGTTGCTACCGCTTGGTTGACGGCAGCCTATTGGTTGCACCGTCGGCGTAGATGCGTATAAATATTTGAAGACAACGGTTTCGCTGGCATTGAAACTAGAACCATATTGTTATTGCTGAAGTTTTCGGCACACATTTAATTAACAAACAACTAATCTAAGTCGCCATGTCGGGTCGAGGAAAAGGTGGAAAAGTTAAAGGGAAAGCAAAGTCCAGATCCAGTCGTGCCGGATTACAATTTCCTGTTGGCCGCATTCACAGGTTGCTGAGGAAGGGCAATTATGCGGAACGTGTAGGAGCCGGAGCTCCCGTATATTTGGCGGCCGTAATGGAGTACTTAGCAGCGGAAGTTCTCGAATTAGCCGGTAACGCCGCTAGAGATAACAAGAAGACTCGTATCATCCCTAGACATTTGCAACTGGCCATACGTAATGACGAAGAATTAAATAAGTTACTATCGGGAGTAACTATTGCACAAGGAGGTGTGCTTCCGAATATTCAAGCTGTTTTGTTACCTAAGAAAACCGAGAAAAAAGCTTAAATTCCTCTTACATCCTTGCCGCCGCGGAACATTAACAAACGGCCCTTCTCAGGGCCACAAACATAATATTAGAATAATGAACTATCGATGTCTACGATTGCGACAAATATAAAGATAATATTTGTGCATCATTCTTGTTGCTGGTGTTGTTCATCTAACAACCTTTCATTTTTGAACAAATAATAAAACAAGTTAAAGTTTTGTGCCTATAGATTTCATTTGAGGTTTTCTTAACCAAGCACGGTAGTGTCATCTGAGAGATGACTGCGTATAAACATAACATATACTAAAGAAAATAATAAAAAGTAACGTTAGTCTCTATTTATTAACGTTAAGATACGCCATTAAAGAAGGTCATTCAATATTTTCAATAAGCAACCAATAAAAAAATTAAAGAAATAAACTAGAAATGTTAAATAACAATTAAATCTTATTTGTTCTTTAAAGGTTCATTTCTATACAAGGTGGTTCAGTTTTTAATCGGGAAACTTTACTAGGATATAATACTTGCCAAAATAACACAAGTTTTTTATATAAACATAGGATCGCAACTCTTTTGTTTTCGAGCTATGGCCGATCAATGTTGAGCCAAAAATTTACTTAATTTTAAATAAAATTTATTTTTTATTTCTTCTGTAAGTAAACCGTGGAATTTGAAATTTTGTACGTATTTACTACTGGTTAAGACCTTATTTTCAAGCGTACCTTGAGCTCCCCTAGCGTGCCGCCATGTTTTGCTAAAATTATTCTAAAAGTTGGTTCTTTGTTTCATTTAAGTTTGAAAATGTTAAAAATCGTTCCCGTAGATCATATCTTTAGGTAGTACGGTCAGAAATGTTCGCAAATAAAAACTATTAACCTTTTTATAATAATGTAATCCTTATTAACCATGCTACTATAGAAGTCACAAATCAAACAACAAAAGTCATTAGTTTTGCGAAAAAAATATATTAGTTTGATTGAATTAAGGTTGAAAAAATGTATGTCTATTAAGTTTGATATAATATAAATTAAATAAAAACAATACTTTTTCTGGTCTTTTTTGTTTACTGTCTGACCGGTTTCGGCTCACGCCATCATCAGAGACTTAATAATATAACATTTGATTTTAGTAACATATTAGATTCATTCGTGTTATCACTTATGGTAGCATAAATTTGCCCGTCAATCCGAGTATAATAGTGTTGATTTATATTTTTATTGTAAAGTGTTAACATTTAACGTACATTTTAATGTGTTTATACTTCATAATTTTTAAGGTCTCTGATGGGGTTTTCTAGTTCGTATATCGAGTTGATTGAGGTTATCTTAGTTTTTATTGCAACTTGGTATTTTTCCCTGTTGATTATTTTTATTTCTTGGGTTTCTTCTTCGGACTTGATTTGAATTTCCATGAGGACTGGGGAATGGTCGGATGAAAGTTCGTTTATTGTTTTTAACGTAGTGTGGTGCTTTAAGTTGTGTGAATGAATGTGCGTGGGCTTTTCTGGGACTACCACCATAAGTTCTTCTTTTTCTGCGAGATGTTTTAATCTTTTTCCGTGGTTATTTTCGACGTAGCTGTTCCAATCCTGGTGTTTGCAGTTTAGGTCTCCGGCGAGAATCGTGGTTGCGTTATTGTTGAAAATTTCTTTGAATTCTGAATTTTTGAACGTTTCATTAGGTGCGAGGTAGACCGAAAAGATGTCTATTGGTTCCTTTTTTGTTTTTATCCTTATTCCGTTTGAGTTTAGGTAGATGACGTCTGGTTCGGGAAGTTCTTCATATTTGATATTTCTGTTTACGATGATGGCGGTTCCTCGTTCTCGTCCTCCATCGGGTCTATCCCTTCTGTGTACGTTGCAGATTTTGATTTTGTTGTTTTGAAAACTAAGTTTTATTGAGATCTACCGTAAGATGGGGCTACTTGGCCACCCCGGGGCTATATAGACACAACGCATACGTGTTCAGTCCTGTATCACGAACGCTAGGTTAAGTTATGTTTTTGTTTCTGGTGTTTTTTTTCTTGTTATCAAAGGAGATGATGATGATACATGAATTATAAAGTGTAAGACGTGGAAAAGGCTATGGATGCAGTTCGAAAGGGGATATCAAGAAAAAGGCCGCAGAAACGTTCAAAGTGCCTCGGACAACATTAGTACGGAAGATGCTTGGAAGGAATTCAAGACCCGTTGGACATCCGACTGTTTTAAGCAAGTCTGAGCAACTGTTTGTAATATGATTAAGCACGTGACTATTAGTTGTCGCTAGTGGTCGTAAAAAGACGGTTGTAACTTGTAACGAAGTCAATAAAGAGTTAATAAAGTTAATAAAGAATCTACGTGTTATTTAATAAAATACCTATCGTGGTGATAAAACACTGTTGATTACTGAAACTTTGTTCGGTCACTTCTGTCGTTGCGAATTGGGGATTCCTCTTGACAAAGGCCGACATTTTAGATGTGGTGAAAAAATACCTAGATAAACAAGGGAAGCAGGTCAAGTTCTTCAAGAACAACAGTCCAGGTCCAGGTTTCATCGGTTCTTATCGCTCGAAACAACCTGTCCGTCAGAATCTTTTATATAAAAATACATTCCTTAATGCTTCAGTTACATTTCCAGGGGAACTTGACCATCTGACATGCAAAGTAAGAAAATGTCCCTAAATCGAAGTTTAGTGTTCAAGAAGCCCCAACAACTATAATCCTGAAGGTTAGGTTGGTATGATGAACAAGTTTCTGTTGCCCTAACTTTATTTCTTCTTTTAATTTTGAAAAATGCGCAAAAAACGTGACCAAGTAACCCCATCTTACGGTATCCTTTCTGCAATTATCGATTCAATTTAAAGTTCCCATTTTAATTTTTATCCACTTTTTTCACTCTAAATTTCTCACTTATTCTTGACGCAGTAAGTAACTTTTAATATAATTTCATTATAGATTCATTCTGATTTAAAAAACACGTGTCTTTAGTTCTTAAAAATATTTTAATTATTAATTACATCTTTTGTAGCGTCTCTGATGATAATATTACATCGAAATATGTAAGACAAAGATATTTAAATAATAAAAAACCTGTGAAAGTACAGATTACAATTTTCATTGTAATAATTCAACAACTGGTTAAAAATGGATCTAATTGAATCTTACTATTTAAATATTATTAACTCGAAATAAATATCTAAATTAAATTAATAATTTTAAGGCAAATTAAGTCGTGCCACCTATTAATAAGATGTCTAACTATAATTGTACGAGTTTAAACAATCAAGTTTACTAAAATTTCCAAATCTTGCAAATGGAATCTCTCTTGTAATTTTTACGTTGTTATATTATTAACTTTAAATAAAAGTTTGAATTAAATCAATAATTTTTTATTTAAAACTAAAATTGTAGACAAATTGAGTCGTGCCATCTGTTAATAAGATGCCCAACTACACGTGTTTATTTTGTTTTAGTGATGCAACTGTTTTATTGATTTTCTATTGTTACCTGCATTACCTGCATGTAATAGTCATCTCATTGGTTTCGATGTTGTTTTGTTTTCCAAATAAAAACAATGTTGTTTGGAAGAAGCTTCTCTCTAAGTTTTAACAGCTTTTTCACTATGAAGTTTACAAAAATGTCTAAATGTTGCAAGTGGAGTCTTTCTTGTAATCTTTACGTTGAAAATTATCTACCAATAAACAAAAAATCGGAAATTTATTGCAAATCGATGTTCCAAAGGTGATATGGAAAATCATAATGGTGCCATGGTATGGATAAAGGAAGAATTTGTAAAGGTTTGGTTTGGATAAGGAATAAATTAGAAACGTGTATTTTTTATTAACTACAATATTACATTCTTATTTATTTTTATGTTATTGTGTAATGTAATTTTTTCTATATTTTAGGTGGAATTGTATTGTGGATAGACATTAGAGATTGGTGTGATTTGGTTAATGAGGGACTGACACCCTCAAGGAATTAATTCTTTATTGAAAATTAAAGATAAATTATGGTGACACTGCTGCAATTTTTTAATACAATGTTTACCAGGTAATAGTTAATTTTTGAAGGACTTTGTTTATAAATTAACAACATAAGATGATCATCTTGTTTTGTAGAAAATGTAGAACAGAAATTATATTATGCATAATATATCAATAGCGTTTGTACCTAATAATAACTTTATTAATTAGTAATAACTTAATGAGCAACTGATGTTATTTTTTAGGGGAACATATAATCTGATTAAAGTTGCAGCCAACCCAGCCCTTACATACCAATGTCACTATATTTATATAATATAACTAAAACTAAAAGTGTAAAACCTAATCACCTAACTGTTTAGGCACTTTAAGTCATTGTTTGGATCTTAAACTAGAAGGCTCTACAGTTTCAATATCTTTGGTATTTTGAATATTTCAAAAAAACTTCTTACTTGCTTTAAAATAATATATTTATTTGGAACTGGTTTCGAGCAGTGTTTTACTCATCATCAGCCGAATCTACATTTAAAAACATATCATATGACAGATATTCGAATATAAAATAAGTAGAAAAAATAACTCACAAACAGAAAAAATTTGTGTTTTAAAAGTTAATAAAACATTGTATTAAGTTCTTCTTGAATTTGTAAATCTCTTACTGTTCCAATAAGTCCATTTTTGGACCTTTGTTGTTTAAATGGGAAGCTATAAAGAACTGCAAAAATAAATTAAATAAATAACATAAGTTAAGAAAAAAAAATGTTATCAAAAGGAACAAAAATAAATATAATAACTTACTTGTTTCTTTGAAAATATAGTTGAGGTTAAGAAATCAAAACTACTCCATTTAAAACATATACAATGTTGTTCATACAAAGCTTAAGAAACTATCAGAACTGAAATATGTTATTAAATTAAAAGAAAACTGAATAATAGGGTGGAAACACCCACAACTCAATGTTACGACATCCAGTTCGAAATAAACAACTAATAAACAGGTTATATATCTGAAGTCATAAATCTCATGAAGTATGCGTTATTATTAAAGTCTGTAATGTCGTTAAGAATCATTTGTTTATTCTTTTTATTAACTAAACGTTATTAATGTTAGAATTGTGGTTTTCAGTTTTTAAATGTGTACAGAAAGTGGATGAATTCTTAGATAAATGTTCCTCGGCTCTGGTTTTTAAATTCTCACAGGTGATTTTATAGTCCATTTCATTCAAGACTGTCGTATTTGTGGTTGGTGTTAACTAACAACTGACCTAATTTGCTATTAGATGTGAAGACTAAGTTGATGTTTATTTTGTATGAGTTTCTTTTTAAATCCATTAGGGAGGGGTGAAAAGCTAAAGTAATGAAACAATGTTGACTTTTCTAATGAGGGTAAATGGATCTATTGACTTGTCTAGTGACTTGATTTCGCTCATATTAAAACCGTTGTTAAAGCCAATTTTTAAAATTTTCTTTATTTCTATTTGTAATCGCTAAATGAAGCAAACTTGTGTTGAGTACTATTGTGTGAGAATTAAGTAATGATGGAGTCAGTGCATGAAGGTTTTCTAAAGATGCTAATTCAAGTTTGTTAGTTATGTTGTTTTTACATACAAGTTCGGTGGTGAAGTTTAAGGCGCATAAATTATTAATTAGGTTACAAAGTGCGTGAAATTTTGCTTTGTTGCCTTCGTAAACAATCAGGATGTCATCAATGAATCTACAGTAGAACTTAATGTCTTTATTGAACAAAACGTACTTATCTGTGAAAATTTTAGTTTCATAATGTTTAACGTAAATGTCAGCCAAAATACCTGATATGAGAGGGAGGGGAGGGGTTTTGTAAAATGATTTATGTTCTTTATAATATTAAAGTTATCTTAAAATTTTTTTTATGTCGATTGAACATTGATTGGGCTTCCATTGAATGGTAAAATTTGTTTATGGCTAGAGTTTAGGATGTTATTCTCTATATCATTGAACTGAACATCGCTCATATTGGTGAACCCAAAGAAATTGTATAACTAGAAGCATATATAAACACCAAGAGTTGAAGCGTTCGATGTGTTTTGTTTACGTTTTCACTCAGTCCAGAATGGGACGCGCTCAGATCGGACCGTCCGGCCGACGATCACCGAGTATTTCCGAACAGGCCAATCTTTTTATGGTTTCTTTGAAAATAAATTTACCTGATTTATGTTTATCCATGTTTACCGAACCCTAATAAATGAATAATTCTCTCAAGGCTTGTGTGCGCATTTGTGTTTTGGCTTTGGCGACGTTAACATTTTAGTAGTTCCGTAGTTTTCAGACTATAAAACGGACCTTTTTACATAGAAAAATGGACTCAATTTTGGGTGCGTTTTTTGGTCCGAAGTTACCATTAAAATATATTTTTCAATAAATCGTCTCTAAATTTGAGGTGCGTCTTATAGTCCGAAAAATATAGTATATTTTTCTGAAAAAAGATATTATTTAAAATGATTACAGTTTTCCTAATGATAGAAAAAAAATTATATTTAACTATAAATTGTCACAAAACTATTTAAGGATTTTTTTAGTGCAGTTAGGCGACGTTGTTGGTGTTGTAACAATCCTACTGCACTACAATTTGAACAAGAATACAAAAAACTATTAGTACATACCGGCAGTAAAGGGCATGAGATTATACTAATATTTTAAATTGTTCATCAATATTCAAAAATAAAAATGATGAAATTGAAACACTGGACATTATAGACGTTGCGAACTTAGACAATATGCATTTAACTATCTAACTACTATTTTCTAAAAACTAATACTATTTGTCAATTTTGTTTACATATAGTAGAAGGAACTAATAATATTTCAATACTATAGATACAAAAGACATATGGGATTTATGACTAAATCTTTGTTTTTTAAAGTTTGTAGTAAAACTTTACTTAATTAGAGAAAAAATTATTAGAGACTATAAACGACAAAATGTATTATTCAATAACAAGAACATACTTTTAAAGTTAAGTAATTCCATTTTATTAAGTTTACCTCAAAACATTTATGATCTTTTTGGAGGTCATGCGTATCGTGATGCATGTTATTGATGGGCATGAAATACAATGTATAAAGTTAATAATAACAAAATTTATTAACGTAAAGTTATTTAATGAAACCAAGTTAATAAATCAAGAACCTAGGCTTTGACATATGTTAAGCAAACAAATATTATTTTCAAATCAATGAGAGTTATTTTAAAACTTATATTTATGAGTTAAGTTTTAAGTTTTTTATTATGTAATAAAAATTTGTAAACAAATTACCAATGTTATTTGCAAATACAATATTTTTACTGCAGTATTTACCATGAAAGCACTGTAAAATTCCAATTATATCATCTTTAATTTACTTGTAAGAAATAAACTGTTCACAATTTATACGGTTACAATTATAAATTAATTAATTAAAATAATGATAATATACATTTCTTCATGTACGCCACTGTGTAAGTCTGATTATACCGAAACTATACACGCCACTGTCAGTAGGACCAATACCAAAACCATCGAGATATACTATGTTCACTGGAGTGCGTGCTTTGAGCTAGAAAACGAGCCGGCATCCCCCACTATAACGGCAAAAAGCTTCAACGTAACATACGGAAAAAAAATTATATATTTTTTTTTTCCTCTATAATAACTTAAATATGTATTTTTCATCATTATTGAATAACATTATTTGAATTACTTAGTAAATATTGAATAAATTCATGCTGAATTATATTCATTAGGTAGTACTATTTGTATTTCTTGCCGTTATGGGGTGGGGGAATGTTCGCGCGATATAGGATCGGGATTAAAACCGGTGCTGAATCGTAATTCAAATAATATTTAATCAATTAAGGAACACAGAAGTGATAAGGAAATAAAAGATTGTAATTAAATTTTAATTGTCTTACTCTAATTCTCCTTCTTTTACACACTTTTACACCCCTTTATGTCGATAGCACAACGGAAGGTCAAGAATAGATCGATATCGCACCACGGACGGCCGAGAAGAGAGATCGATCGATCAATATCGATCGTGATATTTAAAGTGACAAGTTATCGGGGGTGCAAAGGGGGTTGCCTATATTCCTGACTTAACAGGGAACATGCTGGCGAATCGGACCATTTTCTCGACCAAGCGAATATCGTGAGCACGTACTCCAGTAAATTATATGTATCTCGATGACCAAAACAAACACTCGAACGTTGGCTTCAATCTCGTATACGGGCGGAGATAGGCAATGCTGCTTCTAGTTATACAATTTCTTTGGGTGAACCTAGTAGCGAATGTGATTTCATCGAGATCTCTTCTCATCGTACTTAATCTGAAGTTTCTTATTATTACTATATTTTTCATGATGAATCCTAGATTATATGTTGGTTTCATTATAAACGTTTCAGTAAATTTTATTCTTGTGTTCATGTATTTGTATACCCAATTTTCTTCGTGTTAGCCCTATGTGTTTACAGAATAAACTCCGCGTTTTTCAAAAATGTCTCTCCTCTACATATCACAGTTTGAGAGTAATTTCAAAATAGAATTATTATTTAAAAAAGCCAAGGATTATACCATGAATATATATTATACCTTGAAAAAATATCTTTAGATTGTAATGTAATATTGTTAAAAGGAATAGGTTTGAAAATCTTAGGTTCTGTGCATTTAAAGTATAAGGGATCTTTCTGAAGTTTAATTTTATGTAGGAGGTTATTGATAATTTTATTCGGAAATTTATTGACGATAGCCAGTTCATAAATATAAGTGAATTCTTTTGTTTTATCTTCTGATAATGGGTAGTTAAAGACTATTGAATAAAAGACGGAAGTTTGCCAACTTATGGAGCAATTATGTTATGTGATGTTAAGTGAAGCGTATATTTTATAGGAATATTCGAATAAAGGTTTGTGTCATCAAAGGAAATAAGGATTTTATTGTTAAGTTCAATATTCCTGGTATTTTGGATCAATTATAGTGAATTAGAAACGGAAAATTGACGCTGGAAGTCAATAAGCTTGAAAACGTTGAGCATAAAATTAGCTAACTTTGGAGTAGGAGCTTTACTAAAGGAAATAATAGGTAGTATCGACATACTCTCTTTATGAATTTTGGGTAATGAGTAAAGTCTAGGAATTTCTGGTTTCATATGCGTGAAGTAACTATTAAAGAAGTAATTGTTCGAATTGTTTAACTTGGGGGTGTAGTATAGTAAAGTTTCTTTACAAGTGTTTATTATTTCTTTTGTTTTCCAATTGATGTTGTTTATTAGATTTTTAGTCAGCTTTATGTAATTATTATTATGTATGAAAGTTAAAGTCTTTTGGATGCAAGAATCTTTTTTAAAAATTACTACGATGCTGATGTTGGAATTGATTAACCCATTTATGACCAAGGTAGAAAATAATTGTAAATTTTAGAAAAAATTATTGTTTATTGCAAAAAATAGGTTAACTAAGAGGATTCGGCACATATCTATTGAACTTTGCTAGTAGTAAAACGCAGTAGGTTTTAATTTAACTCCACAATATATTTATAAAAAACTCTCCGTCGTCATTGTCAGACATCTTAGATCTTATACTACATCCGGTTATTATACGTAACCAACTTCACACCACTTATTCTTACTTTTACACACAGATGTCGCGATAGTCAACCCCTAATAATATCAAATCAAAAAAGAAATTGGGTATATGAAAAAGATGATGGTGCGTAAACGCACCTTTGGCTAAACATATGTATATTTACTTGTGATGATCCTCAAAACATTTTATATGTAAATGTAATGTACACTTCGCATAAATATAAATAGTATGACTTTTCAGCCCCGCATCTACGATTTTTCTGAACCGGGGCAATAATGGACTTTGGCGCCCCTCCCCTCTAACATTTAGAGCTAATTATTTACAAAAATTCAGAAAATAAATTTACAGTACACGACACCGAAAACCGAAAACGTCAATTATAATTTGTAATGAAATATACTATTATTTAACGTAAAGTTTACTTAATATTTTCAAGTGTAGGCCATAAATTGTATGGGAATATTGGAATTGGAAGATTTTTTATGATTGGGAGAAATAAAATACTTAATTTTACTTTAATTTTAATTTTTTTTAAATTAATTTTACACGCTACAACTTTACGCGTCTGGCTTTTCTTTCCGCGAAAGAATCTATGATTGAATCAAAGTTTGTCTCACAAGCCGTTTTATTTTCGATAGCTAGGATTGCGAGACCAGATAGACGTTCTTGACTCATTGTTGAACGAAGATAGGTTTTAATTAATTTCAGTTTGCTGAAACTTCGCTCACAGCTTGCAGATGTTGTCGGTAATGTGCAGTATATTCTTAAAGCTATACTAATATTGGGAAAAGCTTCCTGCAGATCATGTTTGTATATACCTTGCAACAGGTCGAATGCAGTTGTTTTTTCGTTTATACCGATTACAAGTGGAGCTTGCTTTTTAAAAACAGCGAGTTCTTGGCAAAAATCAAGTATGTTCAAGTCTCTAGAATATGTTCTAGCTAGAAGTTCTCCATGTTTCTGCAGTTCTTCAGCAGACATGTTTACAAACGCGTAACCATTGAGGAAGGCGAAATTTTCGTTCAGATCTTTCGCGCTTTCTAATCTTGTATTTATTTCCGTCAAAATTTTGTCGAATATAATTTTTATTTCTTTGGAGACCAACTGAGTCGCGTTGAGAGTTCTTGACTCGTCGCCGCACTTTTCGTCGTGTTGCCGTTTCTTTATGGGAATTCGTTTGCTTTTAAGGATTGGCTCAATTCCCAACTTTTTTGATACAGGTGTAGCTTCTTCAATCCAAAATTCTATTGATTTTTCTCTCATTTCAGATATGGTATGAATTAGACCTTGCATTAGTGCTACAGAACGTGAAATGATAATGTCTTCTTTCTGTATTTGAACATTAACCCTGTTCATTTCTCGAAGAATATTTGACCAAATTATTAATGTAAGAATAAATTTAAAATTCATTACTGCACCCAGTAGATGACTACATTCGTATTTAGATTCTGCCGAAAGGGAGGATTCTGCAATTTTTTCCAGGGCTTCGACAACTTCCGGTAAATTATTTATTAAAGCTGTAACGGCTAAGTGTCTGGCCGACCATCTTGTCTGACTACTTCCTTTCAGATTAGTTTTTGTACATTGTTTCATTATTTCCCATCGTGTGGTGGATCCAACAAAGAAGCAGTACAGTTTTTGTACAAGCCCAAATAGACTAATTGCGTCTGGAGATGATGATGCCGAATGCACGCCCACTAAATTTAAAGAGTGTGCCAAGCATGGTACAAACTTTGCAGACTCATTCACTTCCATAACTCTTGCCTGAACTCCTTTATATATACCGGCCATATTCGACCCGTTGTCGTAGGCTTGTCCACGACACTTTTGTATATCTAAACCATCCAATTCTAGTTTTTTTTAAATTTGCTGTGTGATATATTCTCCAGTCTTTCCATCAACCTGTACAAAATCAATAAAGCTTTCCTTTATTTCACATTCACTTCCTGTAATTTTAACATATCGAAACACCTGGCTCATTTGTTCGTTGTGAGCTATGTCCGGGGTGCAATCGAACATGATGGTGAAATAGTTGGCCCCCTTAATCTCATCGATAATGGTGTTCCGAACATTGCATGCCAGTAGTTGGATAATTTCATTTTGTACTGTCTTCGATAAATAAGACACCTGACCTTTTTGTAGATGATCTAAATGGAGCTTGAGAGTAGGATTGTGTTTTGCAAGAAGAATTATTAGGTTAAGAAAATTTCCTTGATTAGGTTGAGGATAATTTATAGTAAGATCGTTTATTGTTTCTTTAGAACCTCGAAAAGAAAGACAGTTTGTAGCGAGATACATAACGGCGTCCATTACTACATGTAGAATCTGCCTCCATTTTTCTTTTTCCGATTGAATCAATAGCTCAACATCGCGATCGATGCCCTGACACGATTTGATTTGCTGAAGACGGGTTTTCCATTTGATAACACATTCTTTATGTGCTTGTGATGCTTCATGCTCAGCTAATCTTTCTGAAGCCTTTTTCCAATTAATGAAACCCACTGAACGTAAGGCTGATAGCGGTGTAAAAACGTTGGAGTACAGTTTGCAAGCAGAACAATAAATTGAGTTTTTTGTCTTAGAATAAACAAGCCAGGTTCTTTTAATATTTTCTTTATTTGTCATTGTTCTGAACCACATCGAATAAGTCAAACGCCTACCATTGCGTTCGGTGAACTTAAACTCTATGTTGTTTGGATGTTTATCATTTAATAATACAGCTTGATTACTAAGAAAGGACCTTTGCTGATCTGTCATTTTTTCGCTGTCCGGCCATGCACCTGGATCCATCAGATCTATTATTTCGCCTTCTTGCTGGCTAGCCGACTGCGGTAAGTCGCTAGTTGCTAGCTGGGTGTCATCATCTTGTTCCTGACATAAAACCGGTGACAGCGATTCTTCCCCATCATCTGACCGTTCAGTTGCGGTGGTTGCATTCTGAATATCCGAATCAGAGGGGGCTAATGATGCGGCGCTTTCGCGAAGCCATCGTCGCATCTTCGCAGCGGATTGCGCTTCTTCGTCAATTCTGTGGCTCGCTCTCTTCCTGTTTTGAGCCCCGGATAGCTTTTTTCTTATTGCACTCATCATTTGATCTTTATTTAAAAAAAATAAATAATATATAAATAAAATTTTTAACGTAAGTATAGCCAATCCCCGGATAGACTTACATAGAGAAAAAGAAATTTATTACTCATTTCTTTACACAGATGCTTTCTTTACTTTACAAAGATTTCTTTAACGTCTTTGACTTCAAAGTTATCTCATCTAAATAATGCGTCGGATATATCTAAACCTCAAAATCATGCAAAATTTATGCTCTGACTATGAAAATTAATTAATAATTCCAGTTTTTACCTAAAAAATTAGACTCTGAAAAAATTTTCAAATTCAAATTACGATATGTGATTGATACGAATAAATTATATAATTTATCAAATTATTTTTTTTTATTCAAATAATTGTATTTATAATTTATTTATATAACTGTAATTATAATATTATTTATAATTTAATTATTATATTTATAAATTTTAA